TGGGCATGACAGAGACTCTTAGGGCCAGAGTTCAAACTGGTGGCTCTGGAGAATACTCCTTAACTGTGTCCTTCTCATTTGACGTGGCACTGTCATTTCTCCAACAGTATCATGGGGGAGATAGGTACCACATCTAACACCGGCGAGGACTGACAGCAGCTTTTACATTATTTCGTTCTGATTGGCAGAGTGATGTATGCTTATTGAAGAAAATTGCATATATCAATTTTTTAAAAAGTTTTATTTATTTATGCATGTAAGAGCTGGGGTACAGGCCCAGGTGGTGAGAAGATTCACCAGAGACAGAGTGGGGAACAGAACAGGCAGATTGACCAAAGTACACTGCTGAGGGGAGCAGCGGGCGAGTCAGGAGTGGTCTGCTGCGCCATGTGGGTTGCTCCCTGGCTGGCCGGGAATCAAACTCATGCTGCAGTGGCTGTGGATAGCTTCATAGTTGCGTCTTAACCCTTGTGCCACCAGGGAGGCCCCACATATATCAATTTTTAATTGAAAGATTTAAAAATAACAAAAGACTAAAATTCCTACTGACTAGAGGCAATTGCAACATTTTAGCAATTTCCTTCCAGCGTTTTATTCATGTTGTTTTATTCATTTTGTTCTATTCATAATTGAACTCTAGTCATATAAGCAATGGTGCATCCTGCTACTTTTGCTTAACATTATGGCATACATAGTGATTTGTCCACATCATCGCATTTTTTAAAGATTTATTTATTTATGCATACAAGAACTGAAATGTAAGCCAGAGGTGTGGGGAGGAGGGTGAGAGGATTCCCCAGAGACAGAGTGGGGAGCAGAACAGGCTGATTGACTGAAATACACTGCTGAGGGGAGCAGCGGGCAAGTCAGGAGAGGTCTACTGCTCCATGTAGGTATCTCCCTGGCCGGGGATCAAACTCAAGCTGCAGATAGCTTCACAGTGTTGTGCCCAACCCCTTGCGCCACCAGGGAGGCCCACATCATTGCATTTTTATGGCCACATAATCTAAAATATGGCTGCATCATAGTTTACTCAAAATAGTTCAGATTATTTACACTTATAAATGACACTGTGATAAACAGCTTTGTGCACATACCTTCGCCCTACTTGTGGGTGATTTACTAAAAGAGGAGTTGGTAAAGTAAAAGATATATGTATTATTAAAAGCTCCTGCTATACATTGGTATACTGATTTCCAAAAAGATTGTTATCAAATTCCATGGAGGGGAAGAGAGTGGGAGACCTATTGGAATGATTTGATCTGTAAGAAAACTCTTTGACAGCAATTGGGGAAAAAAAGCTTTCTATTTTGAAAAAGTAGAGCAGAAATGGCTATGCATTCTGTGCTAACCAGTTATCTGCTCTCACAGGGCAACATAGTACAAACTCAATGCTAGATGGGTGTTAGCATCCTGGTGGCTGATACAAATGTTCCAAGCATGGAGAAGAGCAGCTACTCAGGAAACTCCTTTCGTGGAGGTGGGATGGGCACTAGACATGGAAGGGCTGGGGTGATGGGGGAGAGGAAAGGTCAGAGAAGGCATTTGGGGCAAATGAGAACGAGGTGAAGGAGAGCCCCAGAGGAGCGGAAGGTGCAGAGGGCAGCAGAGCAGTGTTCAGGTGGCTTGCCCTTCCTCACACAGCCATGAGGCAGAGCTGGCCAGGTGTGGGGGTAGCACAGACCCAGCCTTTTGTCAGCTGGGGTGGTATTGATGGTCTTGGGGTCAAGCAGAGATTTCAGCATAATTTTCTATAAGACAATGATCAGGAATGAAAACAGCCCCAACTGCGCAGGAGGTTAGATATTCTTTGACCACTTTTTCCTGAGCTGTCACAGACAAAAAACAGCAATTATTTGATGAGGACTGAATAGATGTACAGATAGAAGACAGGATTTCTGGAAGGCAGAGTAGTTGGATAGACTGATGAACACGTTTGCTCTCCATCTAATATCTAACACTACTCATCAAAACTATTTATTGATTATCAGCTCTATATTATCACTTCATTAAATATTCCTATATTATGACTATTCTTTTGATTTTTAAAAGTTTCTAACATTTTTTCCCCAAGCAAACCCACATTCTCAGTTAGTTGGAAGGAGAAGGACCAAGAGAAGGAGAATCATATGATTATTTCCCTTTCTGGCAGAAAGTTTAGGCAAAGATACTTTCCATTGTGCAATTCCAAAAACAAATCTCACTTCCTCATTTTAAAACTAAACAGCTCCCTGTGCCTATCCTGTGTAACAAGGTCCTCATTACAGGACCTCCTTTACATTCTTTTCATAGTGTAATAGGCCTAGATTTTGCTTTCTAGTCTTTCTTATGAATTTTTTTATTGTGACAAATTATAACAAAAATGTTCATTTTAACAATTTTTTAGTGGGCAACTAAGTGGCAACACAATGTTGTCCATTCATCATTACTATTGATTAACAAAGCCTGTTTTTAATCACTAAGGAGAAATTCTGTAAGCATAAGCTCTAAGTTCCCATCCCCCCTATACCCAGGTAGTCAACAATCTACTTTTTATCTCTGTGAATTTGCCTGTACTAGATATTTCATGTAAGTGAAACCTGAAAATATTTGTCCTTTTGTTTATGGCTCATCTAGCAAAATATTTTTTCAAGATTGATCCATATTGTGTATGTACCACAACTTCAGTCCTTTTTATCATTGGCTAATAGTTCATCATTTATACCTACAGCATTTTGATATACATTTATCTGTTGGTGGGCACTGGGCTATTTCCATCTTTGGGATATTATGAATGATGCCACAGTGGGCTGTGGTGTTCAAGTACATGTTTCATTCCCTGTTTTTATTTTGTGTAAATACATAGACACAAATGCTGGGTCATACAGATGACAGCAATCCTTACAGAGTTTTATGGACCTGGGGAAAAGCACTCTTGAAAAGGGATTATTGTACAGTATTAATATCATACATTAGGTTTTCCTCATCACACAATATATCTGGGTTATTATGAGAGAGGAAAGGAGAAGAGAATGGAGAGAAATTGAGTTAGAAGTTGTATATTAACTGATGTGTCAGAAATGACCAATTTGGGATCCTAAGTATAACAACACTGTTAAAAGATGCAAATATTTTAAGCAGTGGTTCAGGATATTTTGTGTGATTTCATGTTACTTAATGGGAAACACCATAAATAACAGGGTTTTTAAATTGGGTCCTAATTCATTAGTAAGTTATGACATCAATTTGCTATGATCAGCATTTAAAAAAAGGAAAAAGAATAGAAAAATACAGCAATGTATCACACTTAGGTAAGGGTAGGTATTTTTGGAATTTTTATTTTGGTTACATGTATGCTGTAAAATATCTTATTGTGGGATGTGATAAAAAAAATATAGATTGAAGTTGCTATTATGGTGGAATGAGTCCGAGCTTTGGAATTAGCCAGAATTTGGTTTGATTCTGGGCTCTGGATGGCTTTTGTAAGTTACCTATGACTCAATCTTCTCATTAAAAAAGGAGTGTAATAATATCTCCTTTCTATTGAATGTGTGATATAAGATTGGAGATTAGCAAGCATGTAAGTACTTTCAAATCTCCCTAACAGTGCTCTCCATGTAAAACACTCCATTCACTAGAAGGAAGATGCTGTATTATTGATAACTAAATCTGCTATGCTGTAGTCTACTTTAAAAACACATTGTTCAGTCTGTTTCTCCAGTTTGGTTGGTTAAGGAGGAATAATTATGTGTTCAAGCCTCCTTCTTATTCTCACCTTTTACATATATATATATATATATATATATATATATGTATTACGGATTTTGACACCTTGTTATATGCTTGTCATATATTTCCTAATTATTTCATAGTTTAGCTAGCATTGCAAACTCAAATCTTTCTCTAGTGCTTAAAACAATTCTGGGCACATTGCAGCGCGCTGGATGAAAATCTTTTGAGTTTGGTCCATAGCACACCTTTTGCAAAGTATCACTTAAATAAGGGGAAGCAGATGTAATCCTGATTCCACCGGTATTTCTCACTCAATCTACTCCATGCTAAACAGGGCAGTCAGGCACTAAGTCATGTCTCTGGGTAGCATAAGTGGAAGGTGTGAACAGAAAAACCACTTTATCTGAGGACAGTCGAAAATTAGATCCTACTTCCCCCCGCCCCCCACTCTTATTCCCTTCGGGGAAGGGCTGTTTTATAAGCCCAGAGGACCGAGGCCCAGGAGCCTGCTGGCGTCCTGAGCTCCGCAGGCTGGCGGGCACGCACAATCTCCCGCACTGAGAGTCCTTCTTCCCAGATGAAGGCTCATAGTATCACAGACGCGCACAGTCTCGATCGATACTGGATGGCAGACGTGCTCCCGCCGTCAAGTGTAGGCACAGCGCGGTGGATTTAGCTGCCCTGCCGCTCTGTCGCAGCTTCTCATCAGCTCAATACCGGCAGACGACCGCCGCTGACCAGCTCCCCAGCTGACCCCACCCGGTCGCCTCCCGGCACCAGCTGCCCGCGCCCCTTCTTTCCTGCTCTGCTCTCACAGGGCGGAAGCTTCTTCATCAGACTCCGTGCGTGGGGGACACCAGGGTCCTGGCCTGGGAGGAAAGCGCAGTTAAGTGGTCGTTCTGCACAGCCCCTGGAGGGTCCCCAGAGGGGGCTGAGGCAGAGAGCGCTGAGCGCCATCGCACCCCAACCTTACCTTGCTTCGCAGGGCGTGCGGTAGGAGGAGGCGCGCTCAGGTAGCCCTTCGGCTGGCGCAGAGGCTGCTGTGAGCTGGGCCGGGGGTGTGCGCCCCCACCCACCTGGTGGAACCCCAATAGCCCAACCCTGGGAAAACCCCGCCCCCAGCGCCCGCTCCCTCTCTGGATTGGCTGATGCAGCCCCGAGGCGGGCCTCAACTATAAAGGTGACGGCCGCGGGACTGCTGTGGCGAAACTCCTAGAGCTGCTGTGCTCACCCGCTCTCAACCCTGGCACCCGGGTTCCTCCGTGCCCCTGAGCGCTCCTGACTCCATCATGCCAAGGGGCTTCCTGGTGAAGCGAACCAGACGAACAGGCGGCTCCTACCGAGTGCGCCTAGGAGAGCGGGTCTTCCCCCTGCTGGGACCCCCGGTGGCGCCGCCCTTCCCCGAGGAGGCTTCCAGTGTCCCCCAGTCCTGTGTGGAGCAAGTGGCGCCCCTCATTCTGGAAGAGCCTGGAAAAGGGTTGGAGGAGGAGGCAGCCCCCGAACTGTCGGGGTCGCCCAGCCGGGCAGCTGGGGCGAGCCCCAGGGCGGGTGGACAGGAAGATGCGGAGTGGAAGGCAGATGGCAGGGAGGGTCCTGGGCCCAGCCCTAGCCCTGCAAAGCCGGCAGGTGTGGACCTGCGCAGGGCGTTCCTGGAGCGCTGTCTCAGCTCCCCCATCTCGGCCGAGTCCTTTCCCGGGGGCACAGCCGCTGTGGCCGCCTTCTCTTGCTCGGTGGCGGCAGCAGCTGCACAAACCTCGGGGGAGCAGTTCCTGCTGCCGCTCCGGGCACCGTTCCCAGAGCCCGCGCTCCACCCGGACCCGGCGCCGGTCTCGGCCGCCCTGCAGGGGGTGAAGCGGGCGTCCAGCGGCGAGCGCCGGCCCAAGGCACCGCCAGGGTGCGGGTCTGCACCAGGGGCCGCTGGAGTTAAGAAGTCAAAGGCCATAAGGAAGTTGAGTTTCGCCGATGAAGTGACTACATCCCCTGTCCTGGGACTGAAGATCAAGGAAGAGGAACCCGGGGCGCCGTCCCGGAGCCTGGGCGGTAGCCGTACCCCGCTGGGGGAGTTCATCTGTCAGCTGTGCAAGGAGCAGTACGCAGACCCCTTCGCGCTGGCCCAGCACCGCTGCTCCCGCATCGTGCGCGTTGAGTACCGCTGCCCGGAATGCGACAAGGTCTTCAGCTGCCCCGCAAATCTGGCTTCCCATCGCCGCTGGCACAAGCCACGTCCCACATCAGCAAACGCTGCCACAGTCTCCTCGGTCGAGGGGAAGGCGCCACCGGCTCCGACCCCCTCGTCGTCCCTGGGCTCCGGGGCTGTTGCGCCTTTCCTGGCAGAGGGGAAGGAGAACGGCCGGGCTGAGCCGCCCGTAGATCAGCACCAGCCGCCCAGGGACAGCTCCGGGGCGGAGCCGCGCCAGAGCAGCGCCCCGCGCCCGGGCCTGCAGGTGCTACCCCGCCCGGAGCCGCCGGGGCCTCAGGGCCCCTACGCGGAGGGGGTGTTGGGGCGCGGGGTGCCTGGACGAGCCAGTGGTGTCGGGGGACCTGAGATCTTTGTGTGTCCGTATTGCCACAAAAAGTTCCGTCGCCAAGCGTATCTGCGCAAGCACCTGGGCACTCACGAGGCAGGCTCGGCTCCCGCGCTCGTCCCGGGTTTTGGCTCGGAGCGCGTCGCCCCGCTCGCCTTCACTTGCCCGCTCTGCGGGGCGCACTTTCCGTCCGCAGACATTAGGGACAAGCACCGGCTGTGGCACACTGTCCGTGAAGAGCTGCTCCTGCCCGCGCTGGCCGGGGCGGCCCAGGAAGCACCGAGTTCAGGCGGGGCAGCCGACGGGAGCGCTCAGCAGATTTTCTCCTGCAAGCACTGTCCATCCACTTTTTTTAGTTCTCCGGGTCTGACCCGGCACATTAATAAATGCCACCCCTCAGAAAGCCGGCAGGTGCTGTTGCTGCAGATGCCACTGCGGCCCGGTTGTTGAGAGACTAGAGACAGGGAAGATTGTCGAATTTGGCTTTGGAGGAAATGGATCTTGGGAATTTCTGTGGGGCTTTCACCTTGCAAGGTCATCCTCTTTCCTATATTTTCTCTCCTATAACCCCCCTATTCAATGTTCTGCAGAGGAGCAGATAGTGAAATGTAAAATCCCTCTCTAGAGCAGGTATGTATGTATGTTTGTATGTATGTATGTATATGGTATAAGCATTTTTGGTCAAGAACTGTCAGCTTTAAATCCTCCCTTTCCCCAGGAAAATAGGATCTCCCCTACAAACTCTGAAGACCCTAATGAATCCTATGACTTGTAATTCCTATGGAAAGTCACAGTGGATGCGTGCATGTCTCGATGTCTACAAAGGAGTCTAGCTGCCAAAAGTGGCAGTCATCACCCCCCCACCCTTGCCATCGCAGGCACCTATGTAGTTTCTGTCTCAAATAGGGTCAGATACCTCGCATTGTATATTCTGTGAATTAAAAGTTAAGTGACTGGTGCCAAACTTATGGGGGGGGGCGGGATTCTGTGAGCAGGAAATATTTGTGCTTTGGGGGTAGGTGGGACTCTTGTAACCTTTCTTTTTCTCAATTTAGTTCATTTTGCAGTTAGCGTTTGGAGGTGGGGAGGGTGCTACTTTGTTGGAAGTTGAGAGACCCTCAAATTCTAAGCTTTAGCTATTTCATATGCAATATTCAGATAGTTACTTTAAACTTTTCTTTAATACAATTTTGGTAATATAGAACTCACTGTCTGAAGTTTGACTGTTTCAGGATTTCATCAAAATTGTTTAATGCTTCTGTTTTAAATCTTACACTATGTATATTATATATGAAACTGTTCAGCTTAAGGATTAAGACATTAATACTTTAAGACATTAATACTTATAATCCACTATGGAACCAAATGACCATTCAATATTCAGTATTTTTTCGTTTTGTAACCCATATTCAGTGTACTTTCTGTACTCGTGTCCTAAAAGCCTTAGTTTGGGACTCTGGCTTATTGCTCGACAGACAGCCCCTATTTGTAAGATGCTTACCACCAAATAAATGTACATAGCTGGTGCTTTGTTGTGTTCTGTGTTTGTCTTAAGAATCCCATTGAACACAGCCTATTATTCAAAGTCCCATTTCTTATCTCCCCAAAGCAAGTATTCTACTTTAGAGTTTTAGTGACCCATTTAGACAGAATACAAAGACAGGGGAAATTATATTTTGCAAATGAACACAGTGGTGCAGAAAGGGAACGGGAAAATTTCCTTTGAAGTATGGCTGCACAGTGAGCTCTAAAAGAGTATGTACTATTCACTAGTCTAAAAAGACACTTCCCTCTCAAAAAGTCAATAGAAAATATATTTAAATTTTTTTTCCCAAAAAGCTAGTTACCTGAAGATAATAAAATCATATTAACTATGCTAATTCACTATTTCAAGTTGGTATTTCACTCCATTTTGTTACACATCATCATTACATGTTCATTTACACATTTTTGAAGTGCTTATTTTTTAATCAGTTCCTTTTTTTTTTGTAATTCACCTTGGTTGTAGGAAACTTTATATTGATTAATCTTGCTCCCAGGAATTCTCTTCATCCATGTGTTTATTGTCTACATAACCATTCATAAGAATTCTAGTTTACTTTCTATAGTGTCACAGAGTATTATTTGTAATACTCATACACAGGCATTCTGAACGATCTGGAAACTGTTGGCAAAAAGGTCTGCTCCTGAATGTAAATTATAAAACAGTAAAATTTAAAAAAAACAAACATGAAAAGTTCCTGGTCATTAGAAAGATGTAAAATTTCCTGTGTTTTTAGTGACCAAGGAAAGGCTCCTCAAGAAGTTTGAGAGTATCTTGGGAAGGGAATTCAAATTTGTTTTTTATGATTAGCTAAGATAACCTAGATTTGTTTTCCATCTCTTGGTTAATCATTTAGCCCTGCTTATTAAGTCTGAAAATAATATATAAAACACAAATTAACACTCATGGACAGAAAGTGATAAGAATATTTTTATTGTATTATTAAATACCATATCATCTTTTCCCCACTGTTATAAATTTGTAGATACTACATGAATGATGATACATAATTTATATTTTATAGTTTGCTGGTATAATGTATTTACACATGCAGTTAGTACCGATGTCATGCTACATTTCCTTAGGAGATGCCCATTCAAAAAAAGATGTGAGCAAAATGTGAGCAGCTTATCTAATGTAGGAAAATACTTATGGAGGATGGAATGTATACCAACCTGCACCTGCTAGTTCAGTATTAACTGTGTTAGATTTAATTTAGATCCTGGGTCATGTTCCCTTTCCTTTAACAATGAACATAATTTAAACAAACACATTTAAATCAGAAAAATTTTTACCTCCTTCTTTCTCTTCCCTAACCCCTTCTTTTTGTACTTTATAAAGAACACAACTATACCAGGATCCTGGAGCCAATAATAATTGGCCAAAATCTCAAAACAGAAATGGCATTTAACAGTGATACCATCTGAAACCAAACATTAGAAAAATATTTGGAAGCTAAACATAAATCAAAGTACAGAACAGTGATTTTTTTTTTCTGGTTTTAAATGTCATGGATCCCCTGCACAGTCAAGAATTGAGACAATGCTTTCAAAAAAATGGTTAATGGTAAAATTATTTCATTTGGAATTTGACACCACTTATTTTCATAACAAATAACTTTTACACATCTGGTGTATTAAGATTTGCAATTTTTGTTGTAAGTTTAGAAATGCTTAAATTTAAAACTTTACATTTGTAAAAAAAAAATTACATGTTTATTGAGCCATGAGTTGCAATGTGTTACAATAAATAAGATAATGAGCTATTTGTCCAATTATATTTTGGCTCAAAGTTAATCATGAAATAAAACCACTTAGACATAATTATCTAGGAAGGTAAGGGTGTAGAAAACTCCCCCCCCCCACCAACCCCGTAGGGCAGTTTGGAGTGGAGGAAGGGGGATCCCAACTGAACAGACAATCCAAATCTAAAATTTCAAGTTATAAAGTACTTAAATCCAGTGTTTTCTAAAATAAATGCTCAGGAAGAAACATGCATATTATGGCTAACACGAAAGCCTGAAAGGGTTAATTAACACTATGTTCATGCTAAGGTGGCTAGTGCTGATCACTGCTGGGCTGCTTGTCTCCTTAGGATTTATTGGCTGAGCCAGAGGAACGACGCAGCTTCATGGACATGCGGCTTTTGCTAGTTCGAGGAGACATTGGAGAGGCCAGGTCAGCCCCGTCTACCTGCGTTGCTGTGGGAGTTTCACTGGGTAGAATCTCTGGGTAGAAGCCTGTGGAAAACAGTATAACTTTCAGTAGGAGCCTCATCCCATAAGAAATAACCTTTCCACTACTGATCGGTAGCATGAATTCCAACCCTTAATGACGTCTTTTGAGAGGAAAGAGCAAGCTCCAAACTTGCTTATTATAAGAGCTCACTAATATTTTATTTAAAACCCAGTGATCTGGTGGCTCATTATTAGCAAGAAAGCAACAATCATAATTTCCAGAGCTCCCCAGAAAAAGCAATGGGAAACATGAACGGTAGGCCAGAAAGGACAGGGATCCAAAGCATCATTGGCATGCAGGGAAGGGCTGAAGGAGCAGCTAAGAAAGACCAATTCTATCGCTAGGTTACAGGGTATTACCAAGAAAAGGGCCTTCATTGCTCAAACTTGAAAGTAACAGCACTATATGGTTCAAAAAAGGATTCAGCACTACAAAATCAGTAGACAACATGCTAGGTATTTAAATGGTTTTAAGGAAGAGGACAAGTGTTCTCATCTGGAAGTAAGTTATAAACTAACCCCTTAAAATTTCTAAATTTAGAGGCAATAAGCAATGTTTTTGTTTTCCTGTACTTAAACATTTGCAGTTACGCTATACAGCCATAGTCTATGTAGCCAGTAGAATTAGTAGATATAAAATTTTAAAAGCAGCAAAAAAACCCTTAAAATCTCTGTCATTTGTTCTTCACCTCTGTACTTATTCCATGAATTGATTCTCTCATATACAGCACTACTATCAAACTGCACTCTGTATGCCTTCATTTTCTGAATAAGAAATTACATTGAAAATAAAAACCATGTAAAAGCATAAAGAAATTTGCAAGCACAACAGAATAACATAAAAGCCTGTATATTTTATGGCACTTTAATCCAGATTTTCTGGATGTTAGCTACATGAAGATTTTTCTGTCTCCCTCTCACACACTTCCTCCTTGAACTTATACATCTATCTCTTTACTTTGTAAGGAGACTCTTGGCATATTTGTTGGCCACACCTCATACAAATAACTATGCTAGCACTTCCCTTCCATACAATGAAAACATTTATGTCTAATGTGAGGTTATACATATTTACAAGGAAAACACAAAATTATTCAATATGGGGATACAAATTGAAAATATATCTCAGAATACTTGAAAGTGTTACGGCAAAATGTTATAATTATACTTAGGAATATACACTGCTAAAGGAAAAAAAAAATTCACTACTCATAATCCAGGGCAACTGCTCTCCTTTTCAAGCTAATTTCTCCAACATTCTTTCCTAATTGAAATGAGGTTGGCCTTTAAAATACAGGAAGGAAATATATTTCTGTTCACCTTTACTCTTGCTGAAGATCTGAACTGGTTCAAACTGGACCCAGCCCGGAAAACCTAGAGGAGACTGTGAATCCATGGCCCTTTTTAGGGTAGCACTGCAGATGGATGGCGGAGGAAGGTGAAGAGCAGTAGCTCATGCTTTTCTGGTAATGCATAGTATTCCCAGCCAATCAGGAGAGGCCTTCCCATGGGTGTTTACCTTGAGATGGCCAATGTTTTCTAGTGGAGGTTTTGGGAGGAAGAGAACTATCACTGCATTTCTTTCTTTGTTGTGAATGAAGAAATGGAGTAGCGAGCAGAAGTGAGAAAACAAAAGAGAAGATAGATAACAGCTATGAGAGAGTGCAGAATTTTACAGGTGTTAACTGAGGAGCAGAGGAGAG